AGGGAATTATATTCTGTGTATTGATACGTGGAGTAGATTGCGACTCCTCCACTTGCCATTTTTTTATCCCATTACTCAAGCAAGTTTTATTTTATTTTATTTTATTTAGATTTGATTTTTAGAGATCCTTACTTGCAATGCTTTCAAGTGATAAGTACACCAAAAAAAATATAATACAAGTACACACAAAAAATTGCAAAGCTTTCAAGTAACAAATACTTCTGAAAAAAGAGTATTATTATTGTTATTTTTTAACAATTCAAACATTAAAATTTCAAGTGTGATAATTATATTGTTGTTTAGGGTTTATTTGTTATTTTTATTAGTGGAACAATTTCTTTGTTGGACTGAGTTCAGCTTTGTCAATTAGTGATATTAACTATTATTGGCATGTGTCATGTGTGGCGTGTTCACTAATCTAATAATTGCCTTTTAGTCGGTTTCCAAGTTACCAATAAACTATGTACATATTAAGATCAGTTTCATGGCTTCAAACAATCAAACTTCCTAAATAAATATAATACAATGCCCTATTGTCAGCTCTCATTTCATATTATTACGATGGCTTTGCTCATCATTTTCACCAGTCAAAAATCCGATGCATGATATATTATTATTCATCATAATTTTCTCAATGCCAATAGCAGCCCTTTTAAATGCGTGGGTTCTATTCGGTTCCATTCCATGTCACCCTTTGGATGATGATTTGTACATTTATCCAACTACACAATTGAAACTCAATCAATTCATTGGGATTGTGGGCCTCTTCTTCTTCTTCTTGTAAATCATGCAAAAAAGCAATAATGATTTGACAGGATGCACATAGTAGTCTAGCATAGATAATAACATAACTATCATCAAAATCGTGTATCAATCGGTATAAAATTGCTTTAACTTAATTATTAGTTTTAAATTTAAATCTTAGATATATAGTTACATTAAATATTTAGAATAAGAGTTATAATCTGTAAGTTATAGTTATCTTCAGATTCAAACAAGATTATCTCTAATAAAAAAATATTTGTGATCTAAAAATAATAATAATAATAATAATAATAATGTATTGCCTTGTATAAAATCTTAATAGTAGTTATTTATTTATGAATTGACAGGTATTAGAGATAATGGAGGAGGGAGAAACAGATATAGAGAAGTGGAAAATGCCTGAGGAAGAAGAGGAGCAAGAGGAGGAGTTCTGGGGTTTTGAGGATCTAGAATATGAATATGACAGTTCCTTTTCAATGTCTTTACTTGATTCCATTGGAAGCACTTAGGATCAAGTAACATTACATGTCGCTTTTAATTGCTTTGTTGTTTGTATATATAATATATAATATATATACACGTTTTATATATAGGTGAAGTTTAAGAGCAGCTTCATGTGGCTGTGCTACTTCTATCTAATCAAATCTCTAGTAACATTTTTTTCCCTTTCTTTGTTTTTGTGGATGATTGTAATTGAACTCCATTATGTCGGCAACTCCCAGAGGAAAATGACACAGCAAGGTAGTTTTCGTGAACTGATCAATTTCATTGATAATGTAGTTTTGTGAAACAAGGCAAAGATAGTTGGGTCCAAAAGGTCCACTCGCATCGCAGTTTTTCTACATGATGTGACTAACAATAATATGAGGTTTAAATCGTTTAGATAGAGACGTTGGAAATCAATTGTGCATAATAATGGCTCATATTTTTCATGCACATTTTACAATATTTCTGGTTTTAAAAGTACATTAAAAGAGGGGGGAAAAAAGGTACCACATGGCAAATCCATTACTTTGAAATCTATGTATAAAGTCCAAACTCCAAGCCTAATATAATAATGGTGGAAATAAGCATTAGGCCAAACGTCACCTTCTGCAACTCTTGTTGCATTATTGAAGAAGAGATACTCAGCCAAAGAATTAATAATTAAAAGAAACAAAATAATCTCTAGGTCTCAAAATTTCACATATTAGCTCTAACGTGTAAATTACACTGTGTATGCAATTTCTCGACATATTTACTTGTTTGTGGAAATTTTATCTTAATATATGATTAATATTAACTACATTATTTTTCGTATGTCTCTCTCCTACAATGTTTATCTTCTAACAGGGTAAATACAGCCGGTATATTTTGATTGTAAAGAATATCAATGAAATAAACTCTGAAGTTTTAAACTCAACCAGCTTAGTTAGATTATTATTATTATTATTATTGAGAATCAAAGTATTTTTAATATATGCATAATGGATGAGAAGAAGAGTGAATGAGTATGCAACAATAAGTTTGATTGATTTCATGGCTGTCACGCAAGTTGCCATATGCGGAATGCAGTTTGAAAATTGGAAAGGCCAATAGAACTATCTGTCATGTATTTGTAAAAGCATATTAATTATAGTAAATATGAATATTATCAATTGGGCGTTCACATGAACTGATTTGCATGCATCAAGTCAGAAACCAAATCCATGGACAGCAGCATATGATATAGGACAATTCTTGAACAGATCCTAGAGAAACGCACAGCCAAACAGATATGGGACTTGATGAAAAAAAAGTTTGAAGGGAATGCAAGAGTGAAGCGCTCAATTCTACAAGCATTAAGGAGGGATTTTGAAGTGCTAGAGATGAAAGTTGGTGAAACCATAACTGAGTACTTTACTCGAGTTATGGCCATAGCCAATAAGATGAGGAGCAATGGAGAGGACATGAAGGAAGTCACCATCGTGGAGAAGATCCTTAGAACTTTGACTGAGAAATTTAACTATGTTGTTGTCTCAATTGAAGAATCTAAGGATATTGATACACTTTCTGTTGATGAACTACAAAGCTCTTTAGTGGTTCATGAACAAAAGTTTATCAAGCCAAATAGAGAAGAGCAGGCACTAAAAGTGAGTTCAGAGAACTCATTTGGCACAAGGGGAAGAGGCAGAGGCAGAGGAAGAGGGAGAGGAAGAGGAAGAGGAAGGCAAAACATCAATCGAGTCACAGTTGAATGTTACAAATGCCACAAGCTAGGCCACTACCAGAATGAATGTCCACTATGGGACAAGGAGGCGAATTATGCAGAGTTTGATGAAGAAGAAGAGATATTGCTCATGTCCTATGTTGATCTACCTCAAAATCATTCAGAACAGGAGGAGGCTTGGTTTTTGGATTCAGGATGCTCAAATCATATGTGTGGAGATAGATCAAAGTTTAGTGAGATGGATGAAATTTTTAGGCATTCGGTGAAACTTGGAAACAACACAAAGATGAATGTGCTTGGCAAAGGCACTGTAAACTTCAGCATAAATGGTGTCACTCATGTGGTACAAGATGTTTTTTATGTGCCTGAACTAAAAAACAATCTCTTGAGTATAGGTCAGCGATAGGAGAAGGGACTAACCATCATGATTAAGTCAGGAACTTGCAACATCTATCATCCACACAAGGGACTAATTCTACAGACCAATATGACTTCTAACATGATGTTCATATTATTTGCTAGAACTCCAGAGAAGAAAGAAGCATGCTTCAACACTATCTCACATGATCTTCCTCATTTGTGGCATTGTAGGTTCATCTCAGTTACAAAGGTTTGAAACTGCTTCAAACCTTGAATATGGTACATGGATTACCCGAGCTACCTGCCTCTACAATTATGTGTTCTGATTGTGTCAATGGCAAGCAGCACCGTGAGCCAATGCCAAAAAAAAGTAAGTGGAGAGCAAGCCAAAAGTTGCAGCTGATTCATGCAGACATATGTGGTCCAATTACTCCAGCATCTAATAACCAAAAGAGGTACTTCTTGTGCTTCATAGATGATTATTCTAGAAAATCATGGGTTTATTTTCTTTTGGAAAAATCAGAAGCTTTATACCACTTCAAATGTTTCAAAACACTTGTTGAGAAAGAAAGTGGTCTGCCTGTTAAAGTTTTTCGTACAGATAGAGGAGGAGAATTCACTTCTTCAGAATTTAATGAATTCTGTGAGTTGAATGGGATAAAAAGGAAGTTGACCACAGCCTATACTCCACAACAAAATGGAGTGGCTGAGCGAAAGAATAGGACTATAATGAATCTTGTGAGATCAATGTTGTCAGAAAAAAATATTCCAAAGACTTTTTGGCCTGAAGCTGTAAAATGGACAGTATATGTTTTGAATAGATCTCCTACCTTGGCAGTTAAAGGAATGACACCTGAAGAAGCATGGAGTGGTGAGAAACCTTGAGTTGAGCATTTTAGAGTATTTGGATGTGTGGGGCATGCACATATTCCGGATGCTAAGAGAACAAAACTAGAGAACAAGAGTATTAAATGTGTTCTTCTTGGTGTCAGTACTGAATCTAAGGGGTACAAGTTGTATGATCCAGTCTTAAAGAAGGTAATAATAAGTCGAGATGTTATTTTTGAGGAAGATAAACAGTGGAATTGGAGCACAAACAACAAAGAAGCTATACAAGAGGACTTAGAATGGGAGGACAGTGAATTTGCAAACGTTGATAGTGAACAGATTGATATCAACACAAATAAAGAAGGAGAAAGAGATGAAACTGATCAGGCTGCCGCTTCAAATAACAAAAATCAGAATGTCACAAGTGGAGAAGGTAGAGTGAGACATGCTCCAAGTTGGATGGATGATTATGTTTCAGGAGAAGGGTTATCGGATGGTGAAGATGTCATTAACATGGCTCAAATTTATAATTTTGATCCCATTTATTTTTAAGAGGCAGTAAAGAGTACTAAGTGGAGACAAACCATGGAGGTTGAAATCAAAGCAATAGAGAAGAATCACACCTGGGAGCTGGTTGAGTTACCAAAAAATGCAAAAAAAATTGGAGTCAAATGGATCTATAAAACCAAATTGAATGAACATGGTGAGGTTGATAAATTTAAAGCACGACTGGTGGCTAAAGGATATTCACAAGAGCATGGAATTGACTACATGAGGTTTTTGCTCCAGTTGCTAGAATGGATACAGTCAGGATGATTATAGCTCTTGCTGCACAAAGAGGATGGAAGATCTTTCAACTGGATGTAAAGTCTGCCTTCCTTCATGGAACCTTGAGTGAGGATGTTTATGTTGAACAACCAAAGGGGTGTGAGAAGAAAGGAAGTGAGCATATGGTGTATAAAATACACAAGGCTTTATACGGCCTAAAACAAGCACCACGAGCTTGGTTTAGTTGCATTGAGTCTTATTTTGTTGCTGCAGGTTTTCAAAAAAGTCAGAATAAGCATACACTTTTCTTCAAACGGAGCAAACTTGGTAAAATTCTCATCATCAGTGTTTATGTAGATGATCTCATATACACGGGAGATGATGAACTTATGATGGAAGACTTTAAGAGGTCTATGCATGGAGAATTTGACATGACAGATTTGGGAATGATGAGGTTTTTCTTAGGAATTGAAGTACTGCAGTGTTCAGATGGAATTTACATATGCCAAAAGAAATATGCTCTAGAGATTCTTAGGCGTTTTGGAATGGAAGAAAGTAATCCAATATGCAATCCTATTGTGCCTGGTTACAAATTATGCAGAGATGAAGAAGGAATCAAGGTAAATGAAACTCATTTCAAACAAATGGTGGGCAGCTTGATGTACATTACAACCACTCGGCCAGATTTGATGTTTGTGGTAAGCTTAATTAGCAGGTATATGTCTCAGCCAACAGAAATGCATGCTAAAGTGGCTAAAAGGATTCTTAGGTACTTAAAAGGGACTGAGAATTATGGAATTCTGTATAAAAGGGGAGGAATTGAGGAATTGCAAGCCTACACTGATAGTGACTATGCTGGAGATTTGGAAGACAGGAAAAGCACCTCAGGATATGTGTTTATAATGAGTGGAGGCTCAGTTGCTTGGTCATCTCGAAAGCAACCAATTGTTACTATATCCACAACAGAAGCCGAGTTTATTGCAGCAGCAGGGTGTGCCTGTCAAGCAGTATGGATGAGAAGAGTTCTGAAGGAGTTGGGTTATAAGCAAGAAGGAAGCACAGTGATAAAATGTGACAATTACTCTACTATAAAACTGTCCAAAAATCCAGTTATGCATGGGAAGAGTAAGCACATAGATGTGAGGTTTCACTTCCTTAGGGATCTTACTAAAAATAATGAAATTGAGCTTGTCCATTGTGGAACACAAGATCAAGTAGCTGATGTGATGACCAAACCTTTAAAGATGGACTCATTTCAGAAACATCGAGTACAGCTTGGAATGTGTGAAGTTCCAGAATTAAACAAAGTGCATGACTGCAATTAGTTTAAGGGAGGATTTGTTGAGTTTGATATATTATCTTATCTTTAGAATTATGTTTCAGGATATTTAGGAGTTTATCTATTTTTGTTTAATTATCTCTTATCTTTCTGTTTTTCTGCTTCTGTTATATGCCTATTTAAAGGCTTGTTTATTCTTCAATAAAAATATTCATTCTCCAATTTATTTAGAACCTGTTCCTGATCTTTACATGTTGTTAGTCATGGTAATTAATTTACACAGGAGAAGGCTTCTTTGTTTCGATAGGGAGGTGAAAAGTTGGGTAGTCTAATTTTTTTCATAGATCAAAATGTGTTTGGAACAACTGTAAGTTAAATTATTTCAATAATCCATTATAATCAAAATAGTTTTTGTTTGGATAAGTTCAATAACAGATAATTTAAAGATTTTATATTTTCAAGTCATTAATAACCATATACCATGAGATGAAGAGTACATTCTAACACCTTTAATAAAAGTATTTTTCATAATAATTTATGTGATTAATATTTTTTAAAAAGTGCACATTTTCTTAAAATGATATGAGACAAAAATATGTATCTATTATATAAAAAAAATTCAGTGCTTGTTTTTTTCATTAACTTAAAGTCTTAAAGCATTTTATGAAGTGTATTTAAAGCATATTATTATATGCCCATACACGCACAATAAAAAAATTCCAAAATATAAAATAAAGTACGGAGAATAATATCCGTGTCCTAATTAAAGATGATTTATATGTTAATTCTTTGAGAAAATAAAATAATACATTCTGTTATGATTTTTAGTAAAAGCTTTATGTTAAAACACTCGTTGGCGGAACTTATAAAATACATTGCATGCAAACAAAATAACAGTAAATGGCAGTGACGATGAAATGGTAGGCTTTTCTGACGGCAAATACATTATTTCAAAGTTAATTTACTTAATCATAAGCTTGTATTTATGGTATGTGTTAGTTGAATGTTGTCCCAAATAGCCTGAAAAGTTGTTCGGCAAGCAGGAGAATGAATCTTAGACAAATTATCAAAATATCTTTTAGTTATCAAAACTATTAAATTGAAGGTTGTTTAACTTAAAAAAGACTAGGAGGAATTAATGTAGTAACGACAAAGATGATGCTACGAAGGAAAATTATTAATTTAATATTGCTTTACACGATACATTATTTTATCATCTTCGTGGTAGTTGACGTAATGACATTGGATGAAAGATGAATTTACGAGTTGAGGATTATAATTGTCAAAACAGAAGGCCCTACGCATTTTATTGCAGAACTTCTAACTTGATAGTTTTACGTATAAAAATGTCCAAGCAAGAATTTAAAATTCTAAACAGAAACACAGAAGAACAATTTTGTTATTTGAGAAAACAATTAATCAACTAACGCCAACAAATTAAGATAGTTTTTCCATGATGCCATTGTTGTTCCAAATAGCAATTCTAAATAATAATAAATAAGTAAAGTAGTTTGCAGTGGCCTAGACGATATGGTGTGCGTCACGTTTTGTCATCCCTTACACATATCTAGTTTTATAATAATATGGTTTTTAGAGTATCCTCGACCAACAAGTGAAAAATTAAGATGAAAAAGATACGGTTGAATAGGTGAAGAGTGAAGACATAGACTTCTCCCAACAATAACATATGAATTTGTGAATCGGAGTCCTTTCACGTAGAGCCATAAATAGCAGGCATTAATTTATCAACTACCAAAATGATGAAAGAGTTCATTAACAAATCAATGGTATAACTTGCACTTAATGGATGAACAACTGGGCACAAATGACCCAGCTGCTGAAGGAAAGGCATAAAGAGTAAAAGTTGAATGCACATCATATTCATATCCCTCGGGGCTTAGGCTGTGTTGAGGGTGAGAGAGTAGGTGATCAGGGCATGCAATCAGATTGTTGTTATCAATTTCTGACACGTTTTCCTGAATCACAGGGGCACTGTCCAATGAATTAAACCAATCACTTAATGTTTCTTTGATAAGTGTTTGCTGTATTAAATCTGCTTCAGTTACGTGGTCCTATCCCCCCTTTGTACTTTCCAATGTTCGATCTGTAACACATCCACCCATTTATGAACATTTGTGGTCCACCCACCCATGAATAACAACACCCCCAACAAGGTTTCTTTTTATGAAAACGTGTCTAAGACTATTAAGGGGGGACATTCAGTTAAAAATAATATTCAAAATATAAAATTTTTAGTGTTTTAATTTTTAAAGTAACTATTTTTTTTTTATTAAAGTATTTCAAAATCATTTTAATCACTATTTAGGGTACTCGTTAAGCAAACTTTTTTATATACGCCCTCGTGGACCAAGGCTTCAAATGATTTCAAGGCGGAAAAAGTTTTTGTAAAACATAGGATATCCCTGACCAACTAAGATATAAAATAGACACAGGAATTGGATAAAAAAACGAATAAGCAGTAGAGGGCAAAAGCAAATTATCACTATATATTTATGATCACAATTCATAATATCAAGACATAGGAACTGTAGCTCCCTAGCATTCACCGCTATACTACCTAGACTCATTGACATTGATTACAAGTTTACAACATTGCTACACTGAAACCTACCATTTCATTACTGTCAAAATTTGGGCCCATCCAAGAATTGATAATTAAAGAATATAACTAGAGATAACTAACAAGGCAAAATCGGGTTTTAGAGGGGAAACGAACATCTCAGGTATATTAAGCCATCTAACCAACCACTTAAAGCTGAAATCTTTTGTTGTCCAATCTTTTCCTGCATCAGCAAATTTGACAAGCAGTTCCCATCACGTGAAAATGGCAAATTGCTAATGCCAGATCAACCTGCAGCAAGTAGAAGGTAGTGTAACACCAGTCTTGGAGGGAACATACAAATATCTTAACTTCAAGCCCGGTTCTTGTGCATCTTGAGATCTTCTGAGTGGCATCAAAGAAACAAATATCATTCCTTGACGGAGTTCCATGCATGAAATGTGTCATACCGTCATTCTACAGTTGGTGTCTTTTTCTCCAGCAGGGACTCCAAAAATTCCGAGCACAACTTAGTGAGGGGTGGCAACATATGTGATGATCCACTAAATATGGTCTCCCAAGGCCTCTCGGAAGCAGCAGATGAAATTGATGAAGTCAGATTCCTTTTTGGATCAAACTTGGGTAGCTCTCCATAAATTGACGTGTATCCAAATTGTCCTGAAATTCAAGGCCACAAAATACAATCTATTTTATGGAGGAAATTTTACCTTACAATGAAATAAAAAAGTAAAACAAATAACAAAACGGAGGGGGAATTTTTTTAACAATACAACCTATTTCAACTCATTCATTAATTCTTTCTTTGTGGGACGTTGCTAGAATTAGTGAGAGGAATTAATTTTGGCTACACAACTAAAAATGAATGATCAAGATCATTTCAAGTAAATCTAAGCTTAACAATTTATTCTAATTGTATGGCAATGATTTGCTCCTCTCACTTTCATCTTAACATACACATGTTAATGGAATTGAAACTGTGACTTCTTAATTTCTTCCATACACATGAAGCTGAACAGTATACACCTGAACAAAACCCAATAGAGGAAGTAAAGTCATCACACCTGTTTCTTCCAACACATGATCATCCTGCCTAATCCTACTAAGCTCAAAGGCTTCTTTGCTATGTGGATGAAAGATGACATATTCACGATCACCATTTATATATGCAAGCAGTGACTGTAATTGTTCAGATGGATATCCTTTTAGAAAAGCAAGCCCCCCTCCTTTGGCCTGAATGAAAAGAAAAAGACTTCAAGACCAAAACCAAGAAACAAAAATCTTCAAGCATACTAAAGATTTGGGTCAGGCACTGGAAGGGTTAAAAAATTAAATAAAAAATCAACTTTGGAATATATTTCTGGATGCAACCCCTAAACAGAATTACTGTGCATTTCTATTCTAAGGTTATCATACAAACCTGAATATTACCAAAAGCGTACAAAAATCAAAATTGGATATTTAGTTTCAACTTCTATCTCAAAGACAATGCACAGACTAGCATGCACTCATTTCTTTATTACGGGTAACCCAAAAAATAGTTACTGGAGAAGACTATTAGAGACAAACTTGTTAAGTATGTTATATTAACTGATAGAAGTAGAAACTAAATGTCCAACTTTTATTTAGTCTGTGCATTTAGGGATTACCAACAATATCTTAAGGATGTTCGAAACTTAATCTGCAGATGACAGAGACAATCAAGAGTCCCTGTTTCTCTCCCAAACAGAGAACACACGTCCCACTTTTCACACTCATCAAGGGAGGCCACTCCAGCACACCATCCAATGAAAATCATCATCATCGATAAAGACTTATCATTCTCTAATTACCTTTAGCTACTCTTGCTTTAAAAAAAAAAATAATTGACGTTTGCCTTCTTCCATTTTTGTTTCATTTGTTGACTTGTTTTAATGTAGATTCTGTTATTTCTTTCCCTTTTCACTCAATTTTCTATTTCTAAACATGTTTTAATCCATGTTTGTCCAATTCTATTTAAGATTCATCATTCATTTGTTTCAATTTTATTTCAGATTCATTTTCAATTGGGTCAGTCTGACACAATCTGATATACAATTCTCAATGCTTTGAGTCTCTATTGTGAGTTTTCTAGTTTATATCATGTCTACTTTATAAAAATTGAGAATCAATAAACCATTTTAGTTTTTATTTTTATAATACAGCTTCTTTTTGTCTGTGTGAGCATGCCTGTATTAACTACTATACTTTTGTTGTTTGTCCACAACACAATCCGCCATAACAACGGACCATGTACTTGCCATTGATACCACTGGTTTTGCCATTTCTTTTTTTTGCTGAATACAACTGGTTTTGTCTGCAAAAGGCAAACTGGTGAAAACTGCAATAATATTCATGGGAGTATTGCAGTTTCACTTAATACTGCACTGTAATACTCATATTTGGCAACACAACAAAAATACAATATACTTCATTAAATAGAGATATGCACAATGAACTCCTCAACAATACTAGCAACGTGCATTTAAAAACCATTTTCAATACTGACAGTTGAAATAACTCAATTGTTAGCCTATAATCAGAACTTTTCAGAGAGATGTAAAGTGATTATACCTTAGTTACAGACCAGGAAGCCATGGGAGTTGGATTTGTCACATTGAATAATAAGATTATTCCATCTCCTTTAAATGCATATTCATTTGATTCAGGAAGGAGAGCAAGGACAGCAAAATATGAAAAATCTATTGTAAAGGAGACAGCTGCATGAACATGAATCGAAATTCTGTCAGATCAACTCTATTCCCATCATGCAGTCATACGTTTAGAATGAGGGAAAAAAAAGGCATCTGGTAATATCCAAAGAACAAAAGTAAAAAATACCATCCACGAACATAGACATGTTCTACTGATATGCAAGAAATTTGAATGATTCGTAAGGCATGTAAAATCAGTCACATAGGAAAAGAAATAAAATCTTCAAACCTTCTATTTGGATTTTGTATGACCAAAATGCAGCAAGCCTCGACATACTCCAAACAGACAGCTGTGGTTTTGAACCATGACATACAGACACAAGGTAATATGATTTTCCAGCAAAGCCAAGGCTCGTTATAGGCTGTGGAAAAGACAACAAATTAGAGATAGGGGGGATTGAGGACAAGTACGAATTAATGAATCCTACAATATGAAACCCAAAAGCAACTAAATTTTGTTTTAGTTGAAAAGAAATTGTTGGCTTTGTTCCTCGTAAATTTTAAAAAATAACAAAAACAGCTCCTATCATACTTTTTCACGACATGGCAATGACATGCATCTAGATATGCCGCCTTAGAATGACTGCTGATAGCCAGATATAACAAGATTAGATACATGTCATGTCACCACTAGATTGTTATAGGGACAATTTAAAAGATAAAGAGATAAGGTCCAAAACTAACAAATTGAGGACTAAAATCAAATTTAACCATAATTACAAGGATTAAAAAATGTCATTTTTTTAATACTCTATATGTCATGTCACTAGTAGGTGTGTTCATTTATTCGGGAAATCTGTGAAGTTGAACTGACCAAACCCACACACATGTTCGGATTTTGGTGTATTTTGGGTCAAACCCAACTCAACCGATTTAAGCATGAGTTTCAAATGGGACAGCTGGTTTCTATTATTTCGGAGTTACAAACCCAAAGATCCAACATGTAAACATAATTTTATTAAAAAATATGAACTTTTTTTAATATTTTTTTGTATTTATTTCATTTTATAATATATAAAATTTTCAGAAATTTTAAACAAGGTTTTTTGGACCTAGTTGACTCGACCCAACCTAAACCAAACTATTTTGAACAAGTTGGGTAACGGGTTTTGTCAAACCCAACCCATGTACAACCCTAGCTGCTAAATATATTCCCAAAAATTGCAGGCTTTTCTGCCTCCAATAGTAGGCATTAAATCCCTAAGCAAAGTACACAAACCAAACACACAAGTGCTAGCAAATAATCAAATATACACTTCACTACATTAGTATGAAGAAGCATAATAATAATAATAATAATAATAAAAGGGATGACCAAGTTTAAGAGATCACCATCAGAGTTTCTCCTACAACAGCAACAAGCACATTATTATTAGGATCCCACAATGTAATAACATTGTCTGCTGCAACTGCCAGCACAGATCCATCAGCTGAAAAAGCAGCAGCTCTCATGGCTTTATTTCTGCAAAGGCACAATGCATCCACATCATGGCAATGAGTTAGTGATATCATCAACTTAATTTCAAACAGAAGCAATCAAAAATTAAATCATATTTTTCTCATCCTCCTAAAGAATATAATTTATATACTTCATTTTGCAAATAAGTAATCTTATTGAAGTTTTTCCAAGGGGACAAATTACAACAAAATGCAATACTTCAAGTGCAAAATTAACAAAATAATAAAGGAAATAAAACAACTGTACCCATTCAGGGGTTGAGCAAGGAATCTCTGGAAACGAAAGATAACTTTATGCCACTCACTAATTATTCTTGTTTTATTTAAAAAGAAATCTAGCAGAAAGACTTTGTTCTTATCTGATATCCACTATCTGGGGGTTTGCATATTGATGGCAAAGCTTAAATGGTAAAGTTTTGATCAGTTTATTCTTTAACATCTATAGCCTACACGAGCAAATATTAGTTAATTCTGGCAACTATAATAGGATTATATACTTGTATGACCCAACAGCGTGACACATCCAACCAGAATTCTGAAGCATCTGGCCTTTTTGCTTAATCTCTTCTTTGCAGACCCATATCTGAAATATGTAAAATTAAATTAAATATTTGTCACCAGAAACAAATCCTACACATACATAACATTTTATCACAGACTACCTTGAAATCTCCACCATAGGATAAGCTGACAGCCATACGACGAGTTGGATTGAAAGCAATAGCAGAAATATGAGCATCCCTATCATTAAATAGATGTCAGCTCCACTTTCTAATACATCTAAAGGCACTACACACTCAAAATTCAGCTTGAGAAGGTAGAAGTGCAAGTCTGGAATAGTAATAGAACAATTAAAAAAACCACTGAACAATTGAACATGTCATGACATGCTATCAACTATCAAGGTATTGGTATACTTAAATTATGTGGGTCCCACTTATATAACCATGATAAAGTTTGAGATTAATAATTTTCATGATATAATAATCCATGGACAAACCTGTGAGGTTCATAAATAAGAGTCGATACTGAAAATCTCTTGTTATCATCCAAATCCCAAAACTTCAGACAAACAAGACCTCCCACTCCATCTTCAGGAAGCTTGACTTCAACTGTACCCATCATAGAGCCATCAACAGACAGCTCCACCAAGCTCACCACCACCTGTAACCACAATATTCCATTTAAACAGAGTAATCATCAACCAAAGCTTTATAAACTATGACAAGAAGTTAGAATACTAACAAGCAAGATTGCCAATATATCTAATTAGAAGAAATTATAGGTAACTAGCACATACCGTGACCTCATCAACTGGTTGATGATTTCTTTCACAGACTTGAACCTGCAGAAAAACAAATTTCAACTTCAAACATTCCTCTCGTTTAATTTTGATACTGTTATCAACCTTAAAAGTAATTATAAATTAAGCTATAAATACCAGACCAAACACCAGTATGTAAACAATATTAAAAATAGTAAAATACCATGAAAAGTTAAAAACATGATGAAATATTTCTTAATATTGTTGAGATATTAGTCTAAATGGACCGAGATTTCATTATATCAAATAATGTGGGGGGAAGGAAACAAGGGAGAAGAAGTATAAATAAAATCACTCAATACAACAAAAATACAGTTATCCCCAATTCTGCACCCACATACATAAGGTAAGGCAAAACAGTGTCTATATTCTAGGTTAATGACTTAAAGTAATAAAACAAAAAATTTAGCGGTAACTAATCATTCCCCTTGCAGAAAGGCTAAAGCACTTTTTTTTTAGATGAAGCCATTTCAAGTTCAAAGAAAAACTTGAATAGAAAAATATTACCTCATAAAGTCCACGATTAGCAAACAAGCTGTAGAATTGGATGCCATAGTTCTCTGTTTGTACAGCCACTAAACCAGAAGTGTAGTCAAAGGCAGCTCGGCTGCAAAGACCTTCACATATATCTTGCGAAGATAAACAAGGCTGGAAAAACCAAAAAATGTAAAGGTCATGTCAAGTGCAAGCAAATGCAAGTGTTTATGCAAGCACCTGGGAAAATATTAATATATTGATATAAAATGAGTAAAAAATAAAATTGTTTTTTCATTGTTCTTACGGGTTTTTTTTTCCAGAAATTAAAGACACTTTAGCATAGAAGTTCTTATATTTTCTCACTCCAGTTTGATGTGGAAGTGAATTAAAAAATTCACCTCATCAAAATCAAATGTTGTCTTATAAATGGCCATGTTGTTCAAGCTTGCAAGCCTATATTATTACAGATAAAATTATAATGATGGTCGATTGTTTAATTTTCTAGTGAATATAACAATTTCTAAAACATGGTCACATAATTAAAACCAATGGTTTTTTAGTGCATTAGGTATAATATTAGGACATATTAAGCAGAGAAATAAGAATACAGAGAGAACAAAAATAGGAACTTGCCTTGATCCCAGAAATAGACCTTATTATTTCCATTGAAGGCATCTTCAATATATGAATTTGATTATCTGCACAAGATATCTGCAGACCCTTAATTAGTTAAACAATATAATGATCTAATAGTCAGGATGGACCCAGCGACTTCTAACAATATTATATGTTCAACTACAAATTAGTAATCCTTACTGAGGAAAGTGATGGATCGGGAGAATCTACAAAATACAGAAGTGGAGATCCAATTCTTGGTAAAAAATTCTTTTTTCCCGTGTCTAACTGCCAAAGCACAAGAACTCCTTCCTTCCCACCTGATATCAAATGAAGCCATATAAACAATAAATTATATTGTTCAACGTGAGTAAAAGTGTTTGTAAACACATACATGATACATACACATTCCCCAGTTCAATGACTTCAACTATTTACTTCAGGCAGTATAATTTACCTGAGTAGAGGTAGGCTCCATCTGAAGAGAAAGACAGAAGCCTCACTCCAGAAGGGTGCCAATGCCAAGTGGAGCATGATTCAGCATCATCATTTTCCCTTACCCCAGGCTTATCTTCCTCATCGTTTGTTGATCTTCCATTCACTAGCCCACCACTGTGCATGAACTTCTGAGCACCAAATCCTCTCCAAATTAAAATTCTTCCGGTTACATCACCAGCAGCCACAATTCTCTCCATTGGATGGAGTGCAAGAACTGTAATTGTCTTTGAATGATGCAGGGTAATCTTCTTAGACACGGCAGAGTCAGAGTCCACTTTAGGAACTTTCCATATATGAAGTTTCCGCTTGTCTTTTATACCCAGAAATTTTCCAGAGGGACTAATGGTTAAAGATTCTGGTCGTTCAGTCTGTAAAAAAAGTGAATATGAATGCAACGACAACAATATAATCATTAAATTGCATTCTTAAATAGATGACTGACACCATCTGAGGATAAACCAATGAACAGAAATCAAATCATTTCTGGTTAGAGGATACATGAGTACAAGTAGACATTGCTCTGGAAACCACCATCTTCAGGGGGTTTCTAATTACAAAGTTCCAGAATAAAAAATATAAAATATAAAACAAGCAGTCCAAATGACATAAAGTTTTACTATTGTCCTTTTCCCTTCCTCCCTTCCCCCCTGTCTTTGGTATTTGTACTTCACAAAAATGTCCACCATTACATTACTTTGCGTTCTTCTCAAAATGAAAGTGACAAAACTGAATATTCTGTATAAACAACAAAATAAGATGTGCATAATTAGCAAATACATGAGAATACACACAATTGATTAAAACCTATTAACAAGCGTGTGCTCATTAAGATTGAATTTTTCATAAAAATTCATTAAGAAGCTGGCATGATCAAAATGTAATTGCGTTACTCCAGCAATCAGTACTACACAGACGATATTGTGTAGTAATAACTAATTCATAAGACAACCACCACTTAAATTAGCAATGTATTGTAATAAAATCCCCATATTATACAATTATTCACAAGCTCCACTCATCCACAATGACAAGAAATTCTTCAAAACAAATAAAAGTCGTGGACGAGAGTTTTCCTCAATCAAAATTTACCTCTTTCAGGATTAAGCTGCTAACAGCGTGAAAATTTGTCAAATTACACTTCCTGATCTGTCCACAACGAGGTGATAGACAATTGGCCTCTGCATTCGGATTCTGAACAGACACGTAAGCAAAAACATCAGGCCTCGTCTTCGCGTCGTTTTCTTCCCGCGGAGACAGTAACGAAGGCACCACCTAAAACAGAAACAAAACGCACAAAAAAACTAAACACCACTAACCTTCTCTGATTTAAAGCAAGCAAGTAAAATTAGGTCAAAAAGAGTGAAGAAGCGAATGTGCTACCATTGAGAAGACGGGGAAGTGAAGGTCAATAATCTTAACACATTCGGGAACGGAGAAGTCCCAGTGGCGAATGGTGCCGTCGACGGAAGCGGTCCAGCAGAAGGAGAGGAGGGTGGAGGAGTCGGGGACCACGACGAGGGCGGTGACGGGGCCGGAGTGGCCTTCGAGGGAGGAAACGCGGGAGCCGGTGGCGGTGCTGAAGACGGAGACGGTGGAGCCGGTGCAGACGAGTAGGCGCTTGGCGTCGTTGGAGAAGACGGGAGCGGAAGAAACGTAGTTTTGGCCTCCGCTTATCATGGTGGCGTTTGGGCGTCAAGTAATGCAAGTGAAGCCAACGTTCACGTTATAAACCCCTCTCACCCCTTACTAGGGTTTTTGGGGCCTAATTTCGTTTTTAAGCACTATGGATACCTCTTAGTCTTATAAATTAATACGCACCGTCTCTCCTACTTATGTTTATTCTTCTCACATTTTTTTTTAATAAATTAAATTGTAATTAATATTTTACCACATCCGTTTTATATGTTAAATATTTATTATTTTATAATATATTATATATAAATAAATATTATATTTAAAATTAATATAAGTAGAATTTTAAATATATAAATCAATGGATCATTCATTATAAAATAATCGATCATATATTTCAAAATGAAGCTTTTTAAAAAAATCAATAACTTTACATCCAATGTATGCTATATTGAAAACTGAGGAAAAGCTTATATACTAAGAAATAAGTTTAAGAGTGTAAAATATAATACTTAAATATGATTAATAAGTGTCTTAATTGTTAGAGATAAAAGGCCATAAAATGTAATGATCCACCATATTCCTACATCTAACAGAATTAACTACTAGAAGAGAAAATACTTAGAATTTTAGTATTCACATAGTCTAGACATGAGTTTCATACTATATATAAGTGTTAAACAACTAGAAAATAAAGCATCTTTATAAGCACACACACATAATATAGGTATAGTAATCCATAAACTATGAAATAAAAATTATAAGTTGTCGATCAAATAATATCTATACAAAATAAAACCTTCAACTACACTACCCATCCAACATGGCTGACAAAATTGTCAACTCTACAAACTTATTCCTACTCTGCTTTCATGTAAATATGTTCATCACAATTCAACTACCAAAAAACATGCAAAGATAAGCTAAATATACAAAAAATCAACAAAGTATAAAAGAAATAACTAATTATGTTACAACTTAACTACACCACACAACATATTCTTAATTTTTCCACAAAGCAACATAATATGTCTAACATCATACATAACCTTACATGCGACATAATACAATCAAAGCAATTCAGTTTAAAAGTAACACTTCATCATACTAAGTATATAAGAAAATACAGTTATACTACCAACACTAGTATGTAAATCATACAACAAACACTTCATAGTCTACCACATATCAATACAACAAACAACTCAACATGGCATTCAACACCTTATAAGAGTGAGCAACACAACAACATATGATACATCATATTTCACCACATCAATGTCATTCAACAATTAATTTATAAAAGCATTTGACCACACCAAAACAACACATCAAATGCTTACATCTCAATTAATGTTTCATCATGCATTAATCTACAAAGATCTCTTACACCAAGATAATAAGTCTAAGTGATTTGATCTTATTAAATAACTAATCATTTTAATGCCTTACACATCTATTAGAATGGTAGTTAAATTGATATATCAATCCCTGATTTTATGGTTATCACCACTTAGACTAATAAAGTCCAATACCACCACACGGTATGACATAACTTGAGTGTGGACTTACTGGCATTGAAATGCATTAACTAGGTTTCTTATGAATTATAGTTTAGTTAACTATCCTTGTAATACCATGAGCCTCTTTAGTAATTAGTCAAGAGTTATAGCCTTAACTTCTTACTTTACTCCTACATTGATTAAGTATCTAAAGGAGACTCATTAATTAACTCAAAGAGTTTAACACCTACTAAATGAGTTTTTCAACAATTAACCTCCTAGAGTGTTACACCAATGTCTTCACAATGAGATATCTAACTTTTCAAAACATTTTATCCTCTAATCCTTAGGCAATCAATATGCCTAAGTGCCTACAACACTCTTAGCATGAGCAAGACAAAGGTCCCATAGTTGAAGCCATGCTTGATGTCTAAAAGGTGTGTCGGGCACGATGATGAGTTCTACACATAATAAACTCACAATCTGGCTCACATCACTTGAAAACACAAAGAATCTTAAACATGCAATACCATGGGATGCATATATGCATCATATTTAACTCAAAACTCAACAAAATATCAACATCCAACCAAAGATCATCCACTTTCACCAAAATCATTCAACATGTTCAAAACCTCGACAACTCCAAAACACGCAACTTCATCTCAACCATTGAAACAACAATGAATTTCAAACAAATTCCAACCAATATATATATACACACATACATTAGATAAACATAAACATGAGTTCTAGTTTCTTTTACCTCAGATTCAGAAAGAATGACAAAGAAGGAAGAAGAAATGATTTTGAACTAACCCCAAAACTTTGCACCAACTTAGATTCTTAGTTCCTCAACTTAAATCTCAGCTTCTACTATGCTAACTAGCCAATAAGGAAAGAAAAGGAATCTCCTGGTGGAATCAGATCGACGATCAGACTTCAGTGGTCCTAGAGCACCTCTCTTTAACGTTTCTTTGAAATTTTATAGTTATGAACTTATGAAGTTCATTTATTAGAATTCACCTTATATACGTCAATCGTCCCCAGGTCAACTCTCACTTACTTAAGTTACAACAACAAAACAACACAAAATAAAACATTTATATATATATATATATATATATATATATATATATCAAATATACATAATTAAATAATTTATATTATAAAAAAATTATTATATAAAAATGAATATTTCTGCATCACTATGTTATTGATGTGAAATATTTACTAAATTTTGTTGTTGAAATCTCTACAAAAAACTCTAACCGGCTTCTTTTAATAATTTTTTTTTCTCAATTACATTTCTTTCATTTATAGGACTTATACAAGAGATCTTAACTAATAAATTTGAGTTTAGTTGCTAGAGGTGAGACTACCTTAGATCTATGACTAAGAAAGGCCATGATTTTTTTAAAACATTTATATATATATATATATATATATATATATATATATCAAATATACATAATTAAGAAAACATGGTGTTGCATTAAAAAATAGTTTTAAAAAGGCAAAAAAACAAACGATGTTTAGAAAAAGACAGAGTAATGGAAGAAGAACAAATGCAGGAAGATTATTTTTAAAATTTATTTCAAAATGAGAATAAAGTAAAAGGGTATTTTTTTTTGGGGAATATGTATTCATTAAAAAGGGGGAGGTGTATTCATCATTTATATTTTTTTGATAATCATGGTATTGTTACAAAATATTTGTTGCTTGTCAATTTGCCACAAGGTGTCAAATGGGCTAGACCAATATTTGTAAATAGATGGATGAGACTCGACTTGAATTTCTAATAGATTCCTTATTTTGTGATTTAGCTAGACTTGTTGGTCCATTGCATTGGGTCAAATCAATTTATTTTATTTAAATTTAACAAAATGGAAATATCAAGCCGAATAAGTCAAATAGATGTTGTGCCTAAAAATTATTGATCCATTTTGACCTAATTAATGCATCGAATTACACCAAATTAGCTCAATTATTTTTCGTGCAACTTTTCTTTAGTTTAATCTAGTTTAATTCATCAAATAATTGTTGACATGCTTATTTATACGTCTTGAGACAACTAAATTACATGCACTCCTCATTCAGTAATAGTTGTTTGTATATATATGTCAGGGTAAAAGTTACCATGAGTTAGATCTTTCAAGTTATCTTAATTCTTAATGTTGTTTAATATTAAAATTTTCCTAACCTTAAATGTTAACATCCCAAAAATGTGAATATTATATGTAACTAGGAGTATTTATTACTATATAAAACTCTTATGTTATTAATGAATATAACTCCTTAACATATAACACTTGCATTTTGCATTTCACTATTTAAACCATTAGAGACGGGTCACTAGTATATGTAACTAAGAGTATTTATTGCTATTAAGGATCATTATTTTCATTCATTTGAAATATTAAAACTTGTGAGTACTTCCTAACAGTTTTTTTTTCTCTCTTAAACCCTAAACACTTAAAATTTATTATGTAAAAGTGGATTTGTTTGTTTGATGTGACCCAATGTGTATTCAATCAATAAGGCATGAACCACCAGGCTACATCTAATTTATAGACCTAATATGACAATCATTTGAGCATACCAAAATTAAAAACATGAACTTGTGAATCATAGGACTAACATCATACTTTTTTTATTTTACATTTTACATAAGTATTAATCGTTTCATATGTTTTGGCTATTGTTTAAATTTTAAAATTTAATTATTGTGGTATATATATAT